GAAGCAATGTGGTTCTGAACTTCTGGCCGGAAAGGCCTTTGCCTCCAGACATGCAGCCACCCGAAGCAGGCGGACTTAATGCCTTCCAGACAGTTCCCAGACCACACCACTGCCTCTTAATGGAGAATGACCTAGTTTCTAACGCGGGGGGCCCTCTCTGGATGACCCCGCTGGGCCTACGTTCCCCATCTGTAGGGGAGGCCGCGGACCAGCCCTCTCTGAGACCCCATTCCTGCTCCCCGCAGTGGTGGGGCGCATCAGTGATGTCAGGTGAGCCCTGCAGCGGGATCCACCTCCTAGCCACCCGATGCCCACCTCCAGCCATCTGCCTGGCCTCCCAGCCCTGGCCCACTCTTTCCCAGGTGGGCATTCCAAGCCTTACCACTGGCTTCCAGTCTGGTCCCGAACAGTTAAGGAGAGAACCCTGTTTCCCAGGGCAACAGAATTCCAGCATTAACATTTCCATCTGCAGAACAAGGGCTTTTACTTCCTGGGAAATGCCTTTCTAGTCCCATGATGACAACACCCTTGGAGGCCAAGAGCTCTTGAAGGGCTGGCATTGGCCTTGAGATGCAGGTTGGCCAATGAGGGAGATGGAGCCCAGAGACCACCTCCGAAGGCCATGAAAGCGAGGCCCCGACAACTACAGGGACACCAGGGAGAGGGCCTGCTTCCTTGAATCACCAGCCTCCGGGTCTCAGAGCTGGGCTGCTGAGTGCAATCCACACCACTGCCTTCCCTGGGCCTCAGTGTCTCAGCTACAGAATGGCATGGTGATAGAAGCCGGCTCATGGGCTCATTGTGGAGGGCCGTGAAGAGGATAAGTATGATGGCTTATTGTGATGCTCAGTGAGGAGAAGCTGCATCCATCCAGCTCTTTCCGCAGACCTCGGAGGACTCTCAGCTTGTTTGGGCTGCATGTGAAAACCCAGCTGGGCCAGGCCACATAGTTTTGATCTCTGATTTGTTGTATGGATGGTTCTCCATGGCCTCTCTGGGCCAACGTGCCCAGAATTGAGGGACCTTGCCCTCCCATTGACCATACTTTGAGTCCCCAAGTTGCCACACTGGGGAGTTCACCATCTCCGGGCCGGCGTCGGGGCTGTGCATCCAGTCCCCCCTCTTTCCCATTCACTGGCGACTTTACTGACTTTACCAGGGCTCTAGGGAGACTGAGGTCTAGGGGAGGGGAAAAGGTCGGCGGGGGGCACTGTGAGTGTCCCCATGGTGTTGGGCACATTACCACCAGATGTCCCCTTCCTCCGATCTGCAGATGCTAGCCTTTCACACAAGTGTGGATGCACCCCGAGCCTTCCACAGATGCTGAGGCAGCCATGCGTCGGTGCCCAACACCCACAGAGCTCCAGAAAATGCTGAGCGGGAAGAAGACTGAGTCGGGAGGCAGGAGGGCCAAAGGGGAGCTGAGGAAGCAGCCAGAGCCTTGAAGGGCCCAGCAGGAGCTGGGACAGGGCATGTACAAGAACCCAGCCCCTGGAGACCCTCTCTCAGTCAGGGCTGGGCTGCAGGGAGCACTCTTCAGCTCAGAGCCTGGTGAACAGGTCCACAAACACTGTCGTAGCCCTCCGCCCACAAAACCAGCCTTCAACTAGCCCAGGACAAAGTACTGCCTGGCGCTTGATGTGAAAGGGGCGGCGTCTATGGGGCTGAGGTTAAGGGGGAGGGTGCTTCTATTTCGCAAGAGCCCTCACCCTGTGGGCACCTGAGCACCTCTTCCAGTGGGACTCCCTAGGGACAGGGCTTACTAGGGGTCAGTTCCATCCCATTCAGAGGGACTGGCCCCAGCTAGTAAAGGGCAGCATCCCTGGAGGAAGGAACTGAGTGAGCTTTGGACTTGGCCAGGTCTGGCTGGGGATCCAGAATATGAAAATCTCCTGCCCCTCAAACCCTGGGTCTCTGTCTGTATAGCCCACCTCCTGGGGTCAGTGGTCACTCAGGCAGCATCATCTCTAGGGGTTTGGCTGTTTAGTGACAAGGTTAAGGCTCGGGCCTCTGTCTTTTTCACATCAAATGAGAAAAATGTGCAGTTTGGCACATGTTCACGGAACACCCATGTCCTTGTCACCAGGATGGCATCTGTGACTTCAGGGAACACCCTGGCCAGTGGGGGCTGCTTTGTTCCAGGCACTGGGGGTGATGGGGGTTGGGAGATGAGACAGACATCCCCACAAGTTAATATCTTACCTACATAGAAACTGAATAGCATAATAATTATCAGAAGGCAAAGCAGGTGTTGAAGGCCATAGTGAGACCCAGAAGGGCAGAATGCTTTGGGGGAGCCATGACTTGACAGCAGGGAGAGGCCACCTTGGGTTAAGAGGCCAGGGAAGTCTTCTTTGTGGGAATGGACATTTACATGGGGTCCCTGGGAGACATGTGCTGTCTGGGCTTCTACTCTGCAGCAGAAGATAGGTCATGAGGGCCACCCTCCCTTTGTCTCAGTCAGCAGGACTAGAGATAAGGTACTTGTGGCCTAAGCTGGCATTGGCATGCGACGGACCCCTTGACCTCGCTGGTCATCCCTCAAAGTGGCCGGAACCCTCCCTCTCCAGCTTCTGCCCTCACTGGCACTCAAGAGGCTCTAGCTGGAGAGTGGCCGGACCACCTGCTCCCCAGCGGGCTGTGGGTACCTTTGGAAGTCAGAGTCATGGGGGTGGGGCAGGGGCAGAGCTCGGCTCTAATGTGGCTGCCAGGTTTTCTGATGTCACAAACCACCTGGTCTTTCCCTGGGGGAGTAAATTGCAAGGTGCGGTGGGGCTATTGGCTTGAGGCAGCTGAGAGAGGTTCACAGGACTGTCCAGGGTCAAACCCTCCTTGAACCTCGGCACTCAGACTTCTGGGGTCCCAGTATCAGCTGGGACACCTGCCAGGGTGGGGCCTCAGGCAAGTCTCTGGGGTCTCCCAGCTTTGAATTCCTGCTCTGTGAAGTACCCATAATAGACCTCCCTCCACAGGGTGTGGCTGATGGCAGATGAAAATGATGAAGCTTGTGCAGCACTTATCACAGTTGGGGCCCAACAGGCCTGACCACCTGTCAGGGTGCCAAGAGGCTCAGTCCCAGGAACAATTTCCCCAGACTTCTCTCCCCGACCCCAAGCTTCCCAGCCCTGGGACCTCCCAGGACCCCTGCACTGTTTCCACCCAGCCATGGCCCCAGGAATACCAGAACCGTGCAACCCTCCTCCCCAGAGAGGCTGCCCAGTTCAAAGGGCAGAGGAGCCCACCTGGACCCGAGACAGAAAGCCGCGAACTACACTACCCAGAATTCCCGGGGCTAGCCCAAAAGGAAATGTCGTTTATGCAAGGAGAGGCTCAGCTCCCCACAAGCTGCAGAGGGAGAGAGAGTGGGGAGCCGGGGAGAGGATTAGCAAGGGGAGGGCGGGCTGTGTGCGCGGAGCGAGGGTGGAGAGCAGGGCGGGCGGCGAGGAGGAGGCGGCGCCCGCCGCCGCCGCCGCCGCCGCCTGCGGACCTGCATCCCGGCGGGGCTGGCGAGCGGGCGGCGGTCCCTGCGTGCGCTGCGCTCCGGCCGGCGGCTGCGGGCGGACGCGGGGCCAGGCCGGCGCAGGGGCTGAGTTTCTGCAAAGTTTGACCTGGTTGCCTTTCCGATGCTGCAGCAGAGCGAGGCAGCGCGGGGCGCGCCAGGCGGCTGCGGCGCAGCGGCGGGGCTGAGCGGCGACAGCACGCTCACAATGATCATAAAATAAAGCGGGCGCGCGGGGTGGGGGCGAGAGAGCCCCGAGCCTCACCCCTCCGCCCCCGGCCACCCCCCGGCAGCCCCGGGCTAGGAGGAGGTGGGGGCCGGGGGCGCCCACGGCCGCCCCGGACCCCATTAGAGCCAAAGGACACTGTCCGGGGGAGGGAGGGACGCCCCGCGGACGTACCCGCGGCGGGGGTCAGGGGCGTCCGGAGGGCGGCGGCCGGGGCACGCGGAGCTGCCCGAGGGGCAGGTGAGTCGGTGGCGCCACCCGGGTGGGGGCGTGCGCGCCAAAGTTCCCTGGCGGCGGCGAGCGCGCCCGACGCGCGGGGGACCCAGGGCCGCTCGGGGCTGGTGAGGGTGGGGACAGAGGCGACCGACGCGGCGGGGCTGGGGCACTGCGCCCTCCGGGGTCAGGGGATCCCGGCCCGGGAAGCGGCGCACGCCCGATCATACCGGCCTGCGGGGTGACACTGCGCCCCCAGGGGGCCGGAGGGGCCCGGCCGGGGAAGGGGCGCCGGCGCTGGCGGCGAGGCGGTGGGGACAGTGCCAGGGCCGGCAAGTCCACGCGGCCCCCTGCAGTGCCAGCCGGTCGCCCCCCCAACCCACGCCACCCCCGGGTCGGGAGGGTGTCAGCGGAGATGTCACGGGCCCCGATTATTCGCTGGTGCGCGCGGTCGTGCAGCCGCCACTGACGGGGCGGGCGGGTTGCGGGGGGGCCGCCGCCTCCGAGGAGACCGCCCAGAGCTGCGCCGTCAGCTCCGCAGCCCGCGCCCCGCGCCCCGCGCACACGCGTCGCCGCCTCGCGCGCCCCCCCGCAGCAAAGTTCGGCTCAACTTTGAGGCGGGCCTTGACGCCCTGTCCCTTCCACCCCCCCACCAGGTCCTCGGCGGCCGCGGCGAGCCAGGCGGCGGCCCGAGAGCAACCCCGGAGCCCCGCGCGGCGGCGGGCGGCGACAGCGACAGCAGCGGGGGGACGCGGCGCGCCCACGTGGGGGCGTCGGCCCGCGCCCGCGAGTGGGCGCCGACGGGGACCCGCGCCGCGCCGCCCTCCTCCGGGACCCCGCGGGCGGCCGGAGCCCGGCGCTCGCCTCCTGGAAGCCGCGGGTCGGCGCTCGCCCCCAAGGGCGCCCCGGCCTCCGCGCTCGAACAGAAACTGCTCTTCCATTGATTGGGCCCCGTTGGGCGAGCGGCCGGTGCGTGTGCCCCGAGCGAACGCGTGCGGAAGGCAGAAGGGCAGGAAGTCGGACTTCTGCAGCGAGGGTGGCGGCACCGCGCAGGGGACGAGCCTTACACATTTATGTGTCTGCCGGCCTTCGCCTTCTTCGCCCTAGGACTTCAGAAGCGTCTCTGAGCTGCGTTCCCCGCGTGGGAGGCACGGAAGGGCTGGATGTCTGAACAACATGATTATCCATTAACCTCCAAACTTTCCTTTTTTTAACCCAAAGAATATCGGTGATTTTTGTCCACTGCTAGCAGAAGAAGAGAGAACCCGGGGCTCTTGAAATGCAGCAAAATCCTTATTTATAAACAGGCCCAAGATAGTGATATGCAAACCCCCTGTACTCAGTGAATTTTCTATCCTATGGATATCGGTCTTGAGATTTGAGATTGTCTGCACTGGGTCCGGCAGCCTCCATCCTTTCAATGCCCAGTCTCCTCTGGGACTGCTGGCCTTCCCTGGAGATCAGAGCGGTCCTGTGTGCCATGGGCTGTATTCAGAGCATCGGGGGCAAAGCCAGAGTCTTCCGGGAAGGTATCACGGTGATTGATGTGAAAGCCTCTATCGACCCCATCCCCACCAGCATCGATGAGTCCTCCAGCGTGGTGCTCCGCTACCGGACACCCCACTTCCGTGCCTCGGCCCAGGTGGTCATGCCACCCATCCCCAAGAAAGAGACCTGGATTGTCGGCTGGATTCAGGCGTGCAGCCATATGGAGTTCTACAACCAGTACGGGGAGCAGGGCATGTGAGTACTGCCACCCCCCCCCGCAAATGTTGGGGGGCTGCTCAGGGTGGGGAGCGTGGGGGCTGGGGGGCCAGAGGGGAAGCTTTAGGCAGGTACGGAAGTGGCCTCTGAGTCCTTCTTCTTGGCCAGGTGATCTCCTCAAGGGTTTGCCTGTTGATTCAGATTGGGGTCATGGCTCTGGGACCTTCCGTCCCTCTGTCACTGGCCCCTGGGGGTCTGTGTCTTTCCCTGCAAGAGGCCGAGAATGTAGAGGCGCATTCCACCAGGTGCCTCTTTGGCAAATTTGACAAGCGTGCTGTCCTGGGGCCATTAGTGAGGCTGAGGCTTGGCCCCCCCAGGCTCGGGCCTCCCTGGGACGCACCCGTGGCCGATACTCAGGAGGAGAATGGGGCCCTCGGTTGCCTCCATGGTTATTTGTACAGTGCTTTGTGCTGGGCTGGAACTTGTGTCTGCGGCATTATCAGAGGCACATGAGGACCTGGGGGAATGCTTTGCTGTTCCCACGGTGTTTTGTTAGAGAGGATAGCTAGTTCTAGAGACCTGGTTTGTTTCACGGAGTAGCGTGTTTCTCTCTCCAAGGCAGAAGGCCGCTGCATGGAGACATCCAGTGTCAGTGTCCAGAAGGTTCCAGAGGGGCCCTAACAGCTGAGAGGAGCCCACTGGCCTCTTCTTTCCAGCCTGGTCTCCAGAATGTTCCCAGGACAATGCACGTCTTGGTGCAGGACACGGGGGACCTGTGTCTTCTTTCCTGCTATGTTCTCTGGCCCCAGAGATGGTCATCCCCGGTCTGGAAAGAGTAGTGATAGAAAGGAAAGCCACTTCGCTTTCAGGGCCGCCCTAAGACAGGGTGGTGAAAAGAGCTCTTTCGGAGCACGAGGTCCCTCGGAGGGAGCTAGGCAGGCCCTGAGGGCAGCCTCCCACCCTGTGCACCCTGCTTCCTGGTTCTGCAAGTGAGGAGCGGAACAGGGGGTTCCCTGGGAGTTGGACCTTTTCGCTGATTTCAGAACATTCTGCCCCCGCCCCCGAAATTAGAGGGGCTGAGGAGGGGATGGAGGGTGGCGGGACCCTGGATCTTGTCGCTTCTCCACTTAACAGTTCCAGGGGCGCCTCTGAAGTTGTAAGGGAAACAAGAGGAAGGTGGTAAAGCGTAAAAGGGGGGTGTAACCAGGATCACCCCACGGAGGTGCGTGGGTGGCCTGTCCCTCTGTCAACCTGATGTCTATACCCAAAGGCTTTTGATTCTCAAAAGTGGCTGTTAACCCAGGTGGGGGCAACTTTCCATGGCAAGAAGGAAAACATGATTCTTAGTTATTCGGTGTGGACTGTCCTAGGAAGCCTTAAGCCAGAAGCCTTTTGGGACTTTGTAAAGGATCCAGGATAACTGACAGGACACAAAGGTTTTTCTAGGGGTTTTAGGTGAAGCCTGTCTTCTTCCCTGGAAGCGGAGGGAAAGGCAGAGGGTCTCGCAGAATGTGGAAAGATAGGAGTGCCTGGAGGGAGGGAGTGGGGGAGAACCAGGGGCGCTGAGTTGAGACAGACACAGTGGTATGCTGTGGGGAGAGGCAGGCGCGGCTGGGGCCTCCGCTCCCCGGTCTGTGCCCGGGGGCTGGAAGCCTCCCTGCGGTGGCTCTGTGTCCTTTCAGGCACTATGGCTGGAGGCAGACCTGAGGCCGGAGACCCGAGATGACTTTCCCTTTCAGCGCCAGTCCTTGCTTCCTGGTTAGAGGCATCCGGTGCACACCTAGGTTGCAGTCGAGCGGAACTGGGCCTGAGTCCAGGCTCTGCCACTTTCCAGGGTGTGACCTTAGCCACTCTGGCCCTCGGTTTCCTTGTCTGCAGACAGGGCCAGTCACAGCCCTTGCCTCCTGGCTTACTGCGAGAATTATGGGAGGTGACATTTGTCAAGCGGTTGGCACTGCGCCAAGCCCAGGGTTGTTGTCTTTGACGTTGTTTACTGTGACCATCCTTCTCTCAGCCAGGGGCTTGAGCCCTGGTGTCTGTGAGGACCTGAGAACCGCGGCCGAGACTGCAGAATTCGGATACATGCAAACTTCTCCTGGTCCCGAAGTTTCTCCAGAGCCCGGGTCTCCGTCTTTTACACAGCGCCCACTCCCTGCCTTTTAAAAAATTTAAAAATAGTGCAAGTCACAGATGATTTGCGTTTTCAGAGGTTGAAGGCCATTTTCTTTGCTCTCCATTTGCTTCCCTTTGTTTTCTCCCCCACCCTGGGGCACCTCTTACAGCATGGGGGGGCCCTGTGTCCCCTGCACCCATTCTTCCTGGGGCCCCCAGCTGGGGCAGGAGCAGCCCCAGACGGAGGGCAGAGCCTGAGGCTCCCTGGCAGGGGGGTGGGCCGTGTGCAACGACCCCTCCTGGGCTCAGCCCGGGGGCAGAACAGCCGACCACCCTGGCTCTGGGGCCCTGGCCGGTCACCTGGTGCCATGTGTCAGCTGTCAGGGGGCATAGGGAAAGAAGTCCCTGCAGGCGCCTTTGAGGGCCCAGTGAGGGGACAGTTCTAGGTGACCACCCTGTGGCTGCGCCGCTGAGTTGGAAGCAGCTCCACTTAGTACTCATCGGCCAAATCGTATTAAAAAGTGGAATTATCAGAGAGTGTGGCTCCTCTGAGCCGTGGGCAGAGCTCCGTATTCGACCGGCGCCCTCTGGAAATGCGAAGGGCTCGTTTGGAGAAAGCCTGATGTCTACTCCTTCTTGAGTGTAAATGGAAGCATTTTAGGTGCGATCCTCTCAAAGCCAAACGATGCTTTTCGTTTTTTTGAGCCCCGTGACATGACAGAAAGCGAGGGGCTTTCAGGTGGGACTGAGCAGAGACCACGGGGCAGGACACAGCTGGCCCCGTCCCGTGCACCTTGGGATGGGGGAGCAGCATCCCTAGACTCTGCCCACTTGGTGCCAGGAGCATTCCGCCCCTGCCTGGACCACCAAACTGTCTCCAGACATGGCCTGATGTCCCCGGGAGGGGTGCAGAATAGCCCCTGACTGAGAACCACTGGATGAGACCCTCACAATTAGAATAATTAAAATGAAACCCACGCCCTGGGCCTTCGTGGCCCGGGCAGAGGGCAGCTAGGTGGCAGGGGTTAAGGTTAGGGCTTCTCTCCTTTACAAACGGGTTTGTATTCAAAATATTAATTCCAAACACTTAACCGAAACCCATAATACCCCTGCACATTATCCCTGCTTAAAATTAATCTCTAATCCGGGAGAACTTTCTAGCGTGACATCCTGGTTTGAACTGTTTGAAACGGAACCATTGTGCACGCCACCTCAGTAATACCCCGACTCCTCCAGAGGAGAGCTGCAAAATGGTGAGTCTCTCCGTGCCAGCTTCACAGGATTCTATATGGTTTTCGACCAACCCACATTGCTTTAAAAGCCACCCCCCCTCCAAACTGTTGGAGACACCTGCCTCCACAACCCCATCCTCCACGATTCCTCAACCGCCACCTGTCAGCTGGCATAGCCTTCGAAGTGACAAGTCACAGTTTCTAGCCTGTGTGGGAGACGCTTCATGTTGTTCCTAGCTTGCCCTCCTCTGGGGCCCCCAGGGAGGCAGGGGCATGGCTGAGGCCAAGGCCAGGGCTAGTTGGGGGTGAAGGGGAGAGAAGAGCTTAAGAGAGAGGGTCTCTGTGGGTGGACGGTGCAACTCCCCACGCCCTAGTCCAGCCAGGTGTGGATCCCAACTCCTGCCCTGCACTGGAGCTGCGAACTTGGGGCCGGCCTCTTAACCCTTCCGAGCCTCTCTGTTCCCATCTATGACATGGGGAGAACGGTCCTTTCTTTCCCTGGGTGGTTGTGAGGATTAAACGAGATGAGGCGCGATAAGAGCTCAGCACAGTGCCCGGTGCATTCCACGCACTCGATCCGTGGCCCCGTCAATGGCGGAGCGCTACTACGAGTTCATCGTTAGTCCTGCAATGCCTGGTGGGGTCAGCAGAAAGATTGCTGTGGTAGTGCTGCGCTCTCTTCCGGGCTGGGTTTCGCAGGCCCGCCTGCAGCGTGAGAGCCGTGAGTGAGGAGACCTGCAAGGAAGGGTCTTTCCAGCCAGAAGTGCGGTGACACCTGCCGTCAGGGCCGTGGGAGGCTGGTGGGCAGGGGCCAGGCTGGGGTGGAGGGACTGAGGCTTCAGGCGGAGGGATGTGCATAGGTGCCCCGGCTCCCCTTCCCCCCTTGTGTCCCCAGGACCTCATGGGGTCCTCATTTTATGCTGGGGAAGCCGCCTCTGAGACCTGAGACCCCTTGCCCAAGGGGGCTTGCTCTGCCCCGGTGGGGGACCACGTGGCCTCTTCCTGCTGTGAGGGCCCGCACAGAACAATCGAGGATGAAGCTTCCTCTCTGGGACCGGAAGGCGGCCTCCCCCATCTGCTGGGCCCTGGCAGAGGCGAAGGTGGCGTGGGTGGGAGAGGGAAGTCCTTGTTTCCAGGCTTTGGGGTGGGAGGAAGTGGAGGGGGAGTGCCCGGCCCAAAGAGAGCTCCCCATGGACCGGCCCTAGCCAAGCGACGGCTCCAACCCTCACCTTCTGAGTGCCCAGTGCCGCAAACAAAAGCTGGCTGTGCTCGGAGACGTGCAAGGAGGGACACGACCGCCGCAGTGATCAGGGAAATAACAGATTAAATCCTGAGATCCTCTGCTGTTCGCTGACCGGATCTGGGCAGAAATGAAACTGATCACTAATGCCCCGGGTGGGGGTGAGGGGAAGTGGCCAGCCTCACCCGTGGTTGGAGGGGGCATGATGTAGGCAGCTTCTAGAAGGTGAGTTTGGCTGGATCTATGACAATTTCAAACAATCATGCCCTTCAGTGCTGTTCCGCTTGTGGAGTTTGTCTTACAGAGACTTGGAGCACCTGGCCCGGTGCCTGACATATAGTAGGCGGACAAAAAAAATCTCCTGACCAAAAAAAAAAGGAAAAAGAATTGCCCAATGCATGAACGGAAGAGCCAGGGCATAAGGATGTAGGTATGAGGTTGGAAACTCCAGCACT